CAGGGCTCAGTCCCCATCCCTCCAGCCTCTGGGAATCCAGAGCTGCGGCACCCATGTGTCAGGAAAGCCTGAGGAACCACCTCCTTGCTGTTCTGGTGGACAAGCCCTAACCTTGCCCTCCCTCCTCACCTGGGGGTCCCCACGATGTACTGAGCCTAAGCAGGCTGGGTTTCCAGCCTACACTGGAGCGCTAGGCCAGCCGTGCCCTTAGCCTACCCAGTGCTCCCTGGCCACTTCACAGTACTGAGCCCCAGCTTCTGCCCTGGAGAGCTGACAGTGTGAAGGCTGCTCTCTGAGTCTTGCCATGTGTCAGCTTGGCTCAGCATGGCAAGGGGCACAAGGCCAGGGCAGCTGCAGCCCTGGGCTCACAGGGCTCCATCTGGGGAGGAGATAGGCCAGAGACAGTCACTCTGCTGGGGTGATCACCAAGTTTGTGGTGGACGTGGGCCCTCCAGGGCATAGTGAAGGCACCTGAGCTCAGCCCAGGTGGTTGGGGGAGCTTCCTGGAGCAGGTGCCACCACCCCACCACGAATGAGAGAGACGGGGACACAGAAGCCAGAGGGGAGAGGGTGGGACAGGGCAGGGAGCTGGGGCTCACAGATACTTTTTGGCAGTGGCTCCCAGAGTGCCTCCACCCTGAGCAAAAGCCACATCTTGTGACAGTAGCAGCATCCAGCCTTGTCCAGAGTGGTGGCCTCTTCTGACGTCAAATCATTTCTTGGTCTCTCTTCTACGTGATGGTAGTGGAACTTCAGCATTGGCTGGGGAAGAATGTGATGGCAGAAAGCTACTCGGGATGCAGAAAGCTTTTAAATGAATGCATTTATTAGTCATGACACATCCACAGACCCTGTGAAACGGTGTGCCTATGTGGGCGAGCGGGCCAGGTTTTGCTTATTCTGCTACATCATTTCCTGAGCCAGCTGTTTAGCAGTCGAAGCCTCGCTGCCACACTGCGTACAGTGGGAGTTAAGTCAAGGTTGCTGTGGTCCCCCAGGAACTCTGAGGCCCCCCCATGGACCTCTCAAAGGCTAAGTGAGGCGCACCAGACATGGTTATCTCCTGCCAATGGGAGCAGTGAAACACTGGGTTAGAGTAGGTATGAGGCGGGCTGGGCAGGAAGAGGCAAGGGGGGAGCATTTGCTCAGCCATGGTGGTTTGGGAGAGCTTCTGGAGCAAGGAGAGTCCAAAGGCATTAGCCAAGGGGAAGGGGGGAGGAAGAAGAGAGTTCCCAAGACGGAGTGGTGTGTGGAAAGGCAGAGATGTGGGAGGGGGCAAGGAGCAAAGATGCTGAGAGGTTGGGAGTGGGGGATCAAGGGCCTTGAGGGTAGGTGGAGGATTTTGGGGTTTCTCCTGAGTGGGATGGAGAGGAGGGGCATGTGAGACCCCTGGGAGAGCAAGGCCACAGGGCTTGGGGATTGGCACCCTCCCAGAATGCTCAGCCTAGACGGAGGGAGGTGGGTGGGTGATGGTGGCCAAGAAAGCAGACCAGAAGTGCAGGTTAGCGATGGGCGTGGGAAGGTGACAGGGTCCTGGGCTGGGGAGTCTGGGAGGCTGCCAGATAGACGCTTCCAAGAGTACAAAAAGACCAGGTCTGTTACCCACGAGGGGCCTGGGCTGGGGAGATGTGGGTCACCTCACTATGTGGGGTGGAGCAAAGGCAGCTGGGGTAGACCCTGGGGTTGCACGGGTGGGAGGGAGGGAGGCTTCAGAAGAGGAAGCCAGGCGCACAGACCTCACCTGGCTGGTCCTCAGGGTGGATTTCCTGGAGGAAGAGGGTATGGCAGCTCCAGTGTCCCTGACACCTTTCTCCATTCCCCAGAAGCCCCTGCAGCAGCTGTGGAATGCCATCCTGCTGGTGGCCATGCTCCTGTGTACAGGCCTCGTGGTCCAGGCCCAGCGGCAGGCATCGCGGCAGAGCCAGCGGGAGCCTGGAGGCCAGGTGGGAGCCAGCCCTTGGGAGCCCGCAGGAGCCCCGGTGTCCCCAGCCTCGGGCCTGCTGAACCGTGCCTGCCCTCCCCCACAGGTGGACTCGCTCAAGCGCCGTGTGGTGCGGAGACTGGCATCCCTCAAGACCCGGCGCTGCCGGCTGGGCAGGGCAGCACAGAGTCCCCCGGAGCCTGGCGCTGAGACCTGCGCAGTGTGTCTGGACTACTTCTGCAACAAGCAGGTTAGTGCCCTGGGCAGAGGCCAGCCATCAACTGACCTGTGCGGTTCCCCACTCTACTCCTGAGACCTGGGAACCACCCCAACTAGGCCTTTCTCCTCCCAGCCCCCACCAGCCCTACAGAAAGCAGAATGGGGGTGTGCAGGCCACAGAGGTTACAGTTCCCCAGCTCAGGTTGGGGCATGGGGCCAGACACCCCCAACTGGAGGCCTGCCCCTGTGGCCTGAGCTCTTCTTCTCCACCCTGCAGTGGCTCCGGGTGCTGCCCTGTAAGCATGAGTTTCACCGAGACTGCGTGGATCCCTGGCTGATGCTCCAGCAGACCTGCCCGCTGTGCAAATTCAATGTCCTGGGTGAGCACCAAGGGTGGGGGCCCTTGGCCAGCTCCACCTGGTCCCCATCTGATGCCTCCCTTCCTCTTCCTTTTCTTCCTTCCCTGCAGGGAATCGCTACTCAGATGATTAGCTGTCCCAGCTGGGTCTCTGCATGTGGGGAAGGGACCCCCTCCCACCTGCACCCTGGCTCTTGGCCTGGGCTCCTGGAACAGGACAGCAAGCCCTGTGGGTGGAAGGACAGGGGTGCTCCCCTGCTGAGGGGCAAGGCACTCCACCACATCCACATTGGGAAGGAGGGGCCACAGCCCCCAGGCCGAGGGTGCAGGGCCCAGACTGGCCAGGAAGAGAGGCCGCTCTGGGGCCCTTCTCTACCATCCTGAGCCGTCTGTGTCTGCCTTCCTCCCAGGCAGCTCCCAGGACCCTGGGCAGGGGTTTGGGGAAAGCGTGGAGCAGTACCAGGGCTCCGGGAGCTCTCCGGCCTGCCAGCCTGCCTGTCAGGGCATCCCTGGGGGCTGAGGCTGCAGTGCCCCGGTTCTGTGCTTATTTATTGGGGGGTGGCGTGGGGGAAGAGCTGTCTGGCCTTGGGGACACCTTAGTCTGACCATTTTTCAGGACACATGTTGGTCAAGGCTGTGATGTTAAACCCAGAGGCCCCTCCTCTGCCTGCTGCCCTTGGTCCTTGGGCACTGGGAGCTGTAGGTTTCACTGCCTGTCCAGCTGGGCTCCGTTCCCAGGCCTGGCTGGGACCAGAGGCCTTAGAAACCATCCTGTCCTGTGCTTCTTGGTGGGGCTACAGGTTGCTGACCAGGATACTTGAAGCCACAGGATAAATGTGGTGCATCTTCCAGGGGCTCCATTTTTTTTAGAAGAGAGGGGAGGTTTAATATTAAAATAAACATGGATATATTTTAACATAAGAAGTAAAATTTGTGCGGTGTTTTAAGATTAAAAAAACAAGTCACCTTGGGCTCTACTGCCTGTGGGAAGGGGATTCTAAGATGACCCCCAAGATTCCCCCCAGCCTCATGAACGTGCTTTGTAGAATCCTGGAACTGGGATGCTAAAGGCTTTGACTCCGGTAATTAGGTTATGTTAAGTGGCAGAGTGGACCTTAAGACAGGGAAAGAATCCAAGTTGGCCTAACCTAACCACATGAGAAATTCTCTGTTGCTGACTTGAAGATGGAGGGGGCCACGTGGCAAGGAAGGCAGACAGCCTCCAAGAGCTAAGAGTGGCCCCTGCTGATAGTGGCGAGCAAGGAAATGGACCCCAGTCCTACAGCTGCAAGAATGGGAATGCTGCCAGCCATCAGAATGAGCCTGGATTCTTACCCAGAGCCATGAGAAAGGAATGCCACCTGGCAGATCCTTTGATTTTAGCCTCCTAGGACCCTGAACAGAGAACCCAGCCACACAGGGCCTAGACTTCTGACCTACAGAACAGTGAGCTAACAAATGGCTGTGGAGAGGAGCTGAGCTGTGATGGCTTCTCCCCCTGCACTTGGGCCTGGGCCTCCTGCCTCAGGAAGCCCCCCCAAGGGCTGGCTCTCACCTGTGAGGGGCAGGGCCAGGCACCCCCCTCAGGAACCCCCGGGCTCCACAGAAGCAAGGGTTGGGCAGACCCTGGTTCAGCCATGGCCCCTGCTGACCCTTCTCTGTGAACTGAGTAGCTCTACCTGCTGGCCCCCTCACCAAGGGAAAGTGTCATAGGAAGCTGAGGACCCTGAGAAGTCCTCAGCAAGGTCTTAGAGTCTGTCCTTTACAGACAGGGTGACTCAGGGCAGGCTGGAGTCTTGGCGAGGAAAACTGGATTGCTGTAGCCCTGGTGTGACTGGTGGCATCAGTGCCTGGGCCCCACGGCACAGGCCTGGGAAAGCCAGGGCTGGCTGGGGTCTCCCCCACTCTGGTTGGGTGAGGCCTTGCCCTGCCTTCAGTGGCCTCCTGGGATCCACCCTCCTGGATTTAGAGAAACCCTTTGTGACTCACATTTCCTGGAGCTGAGGAGTTCCTCAGTGAAAGGAGGGCTGACTTTCTTGGGTCCTTAGCGTCCCCATCCCCAGGTTTAGGTCCAGACCTGGGGCCGGGGAAGGCCTTGCTGCCTCTGCCTGCCTGCAAGAGCCTGGAGCCAGGACCCCGGTCTCTGACGCCTTCCTTGCCTCAGACATCCTCACCAGGCCCGTCTCAGTAGCTGCTCTCCTTGCCCTGCACACCCTCTCCCCTAACCCGGCTCTTTGTTGTCAGGGGTCACTGAGCCCAGGTTACCCCTTAGCCCTTGCTATAAGGATCGAAAGACTGCCTTTCACCTGGCCCAGATGCTAGAAGCTTCTTTCTGCCCTCAGTGTGCCCTCTTTTCCCATTGCCCCTATCAGGAGGAAGGCAGGAAGCTCCCATTTACTGAGGGCCCACAGCGTGCCAGGCCTCTGCTGGCCGATAACCTGCATGGCTCAGTGGTCCCTGCCTAGGAGGGGGAAGGAAAGACTCTTCCTCCGGCTCAGCCAGTGCTGTGAGGCCAAGGTTGCTGTGGGCAGATGGCCGGGGCTTTATTACATTGGGTGGGTTGCCAGCCACTTGTCCTCTAGCCCCACCTCACTGCAGGCTACATGGGCCGCTCCTGGGGCTGGTATGCAGGGCCGGCCTGGCCCTGGCCCGGTGACAGTCTCCTCCTCAGCCTGGCCAAGGCCCGGATAGGGTTCTGGGTACAGGTGGTTGGATGGGTCACATCCTCCAGGGAGGACTTGCTGGGCCGGCTGCTGGGCTGCTGAGGTGGCGATGCCCGGGGCTGGCCTGGCAGGGTCCTGCCCGCACTAGCTGTCCTGCCACCAGGTGGGTGCCGCCTGCCCAGGGGCCTAAGGGAAGACCAGACAGCAAGATCCCCTGTGAGCAAGGGGGCCCAGCCCACCCCTGTCTGCCCTGCCTCTGGCAAAGCCTCACTCACCCTGGGGATGCTCTCTGGGCCTGGGCTGGGGGCGCTGCTCCCTGGATTCCCCTGCTGGAATGGGCCCAGAGCTGGTCCTGCGGGATCAGCTGCAAAGAAAACCAAGCTCAGAAAGGCCCAGGAGTCCCCTCCCCACTGCTCAGAGAGGTGTCATGGCCAGGGAGGTAGGGAGGGCCCAAACCTGTACCCACATCCCTTTCTCTGAGGGGCAGACTTTGGGAAGCCTTCCTGGGCCGCCTCAGCTGCAGTAAGTATGGGAAGGTTTGCCTTCTGTCAAGGCTCCTGGTTGCACTTGAAATAAAGGCACGAAGGGCCAGAGGAGGGTTTGGAGCCAGAAGGCACTGTAACACCTTGCACCTTCTTGAAATGTGGAAGGTGTTTCACAACAGCACAGCCTAAAGCCACGTGCAATGAGATAGACTCTTGACAGGTCCCCAGCGTGGGGTCTGAAGACCTCTGCTGAGTCGGGGGGTCTCTCCCAAGTCCCCAAGGGCTGACCCTCTCGGGTGGGGGAGCCGGGCTGCCCACCTTGAGGCCCCCCTGCTGGGCGACTTCCCGGATTTTGGACAGCATCGACTGGAGCCGTCCATTCTCCTCGTGCAGGACCCGTATGCGGATGTTGTTGGCCTCCATCTGTCTCTCCATGTCGTCCGTGACATTGCCAGAGCCTGGGGGGACATGCTATCTGGCACCTCACCCTGCCAGGTCTGCCACTTGTGCCCAATGGGACAGGACCTCAGTCGGCAGGCACGCCAGCTGGGGTGTACCTTGGGTTGGTGGCCCAGCAGGCACAGGGAGGCTGGGCAGGGTCAGTGTGCTGGGTCTCCCAACTCATTCCTTCTCCTGAGGGCTTGTCCCCCTTCCCCATCCCTCTACCTGCTGGAAGGTGACCATAGCATTATAGAATTTGAGACCTGGGTGGGACCAAGAGCTCACTGAAGACTCAGAAAATAGGCAAAAGAGTGAATCTCTTCCAAGGCTGCCTGTTTTCCCGAGGGCCAGAGACAGTGAGTTGTCCAAAGCCACACGGAGGCTCTTGGGTATGAGTCACAGGAATTCAGCAAGGATGTTCTTTCCCACTGCTTGCGGGATGGAGCTGCCTTCCAGCTCTGTGAACCTGGGCAAGTGGCTGCCTGCTCTGGTTCTGAGTTTCCTGGTTTGTAAAAAGGAGCTGCTACCCGCCCTGTGGGGCAGTTGAGAAGGCATCAGAGGGGCCTGGCACATAGTCCACACTCAGGAGTGATGACTTATGAGCAGCTAAACTGCAGCGGATCCTTTCCGACAGCTCTGTGAATGGAGTCGCCTCCACAGCTTTAGGGGCCTGGCGGGGCTGGGACGAGAACCAGGTTGCCTGGCGTCCAATCCTCTGCTGTGCCGAGGGGTCCAGGACACTGAACAGCTGGGGCTGTGTCCCTGGAGCTGACCCCATGGTGTGGTTTGGGGAGACGCAGGAATGGGGGACACAGGGAAGTTGAGGACTGGCATGTGACATGGTGAAGAACACAGGCTACACAGGCAGCCAGACCTGCATCTGGGTTTGGCCATGTGACTGTGGCAGTCCCCTCACCTCTGGGCTTCCCTGTCACCGTCTACACAGAGGAGTGGATGACACATGAAGCAGCTTCATGTCATGAGGGCTCTGTAGGGGCCACACTGCTGGCCACCCCCACTCTACCCCCCTTGCTGCAAGCTGCAAGCTGCAGACCCCAGTGTCCTGCCCAGGTGAGCCCTCAGCTGCCAGCCCCAGGCCCTAGCATGCCCTCTGCAGCACCCCTGTGCCCCTACTTTGGATCTGGGCCTCGACGGGCCTGTGCAGGTCCGGGAAGGCCACCAGCAGCCGCTCCCGCTCCCTCAGCTCCACGAGCTCCCGTTCCAGCTCCGAGATGGTCAGCTGCAGATCTGTCACCGCCTGTTCCAGGCCTTGCTTCTCCTGCTGCAGGCTCTGCAGCAACTCCTGGGGCAGAGGGAGGCTCAGACCTGGTCTGAGGAATGGCTCCGGGCTCCCCTGGGGACACACCCCCTCTAATCCCCAGACATAGGACAGGCCCCCCCGGCACTCAGCTGGCTGGAGGCTCCTCTGGTGAAAGGGAAGAGCCGCCCTGGTGCCCTCACCCTGCCCACTCCCACCTGCTGGGCCAGGAGCTGGCACTGCCCCTGCTCCCGCTCGCTCTGCACGCTCTGCAGCTGCTCTTCCATGTGGGCCTGTTGGGCCTCGGCCTCGTCCAGGCTGCCCCTCAGCTCCTCGCGCTCCTGGTCCAGGCTGTCCAGCTGCTGCAGCAGGGCTCGCTGCTTGGCCTGCAGGGACTGAGCCAGGGCGGGCAGGTGGGGAGGCCATGAGGCCCACGGGGCTAGGCCCAGCCACGTGGGACTGAGGACGCTACCATGTCTGCGACCCTCCAAACCCTCCCCCTCGTGCCCCGTCTGTCTGTGAATGGGGGTTGGGGGGGGGGCTGTGCACAGCACGGAGCGGAAGAGGAACAGGGAAGACGGATGCACACCCCAACCTGGTCAAGGCCAGGCACCCCCCGCTTGCAGACCTCACCCCCTTGGAAAGCAGTTGGCTGACTCTGTCGGCCTCGCGCCCACTTCTTTCCAGTCACATGGTTTCCACGTGGAGAGGAATTCAGGGAAGTATACTTTTCTTCTTCTCCTTAGGTCACCAGTGTCCCATCAACCCATGTCACTTGGAACCCACATTTCCTGGCACCCGCCGAGTGCAAAGCAGCAAGAACCAGCACCAGTCTGCTCTGAGTCCTGCCTCCACCAGTGGCTAGCTGTGCGACCTTGGGCAATTTCCCTAATCTCACCAAGCCTTAGTTTCCTCTTCTGTAAAATGGGGATGACAAGAGTCTCTACTTCTGTTGTGGCAGGGAGTAAGAATGACAGGGCTGCAGAGGCTGAAGCCCAGTGCCAGGCTCACAGCAGACACCTGATGTGTGGTGACTGTGACTAAGACACTGAGAAAAGCACCCATTTGGGGTTGAAAGGCTTTCCTATCCTTGCCATGCCTGACCCCAGAGACTTCTACCTGGTGTCTTGGCTCCCCACTGAACCTCTGAGGGTAAACCCAGCCAGGAAAGCCCCCAGGCCTGCCCCCTTCTCTAGATGACAGGTCATTTGCTCCCTCAGCCACCCCCTTGGGGACTCCTGCAAGGCCCCAATGCCTAGGGTACAGCCATATCCTGGGCCCTGGCTCACCCTTTGCCCTATCCTTCCTCTGGCTGATGGACTAATCACCAGCCATCGGCTTCCAGTTCAAAGGCCACCTCCTCCCAGAAGCCATCCCAGATTCCCACAGGCAGATGTGACCATCCCTCCCTGGATCCTGCAGCACTTTCCCTGCCCCTCTTAGCCATCTGGCAGGAGAGCTGTGGTGGCACAACTGTTCATCCTTACCGAGCAGGGAGCTCCTCCAGAGCAAAACCTCATTTGGCTGTTCTGTCCCTGGGTCACTGTTTCCCAAGTGCCCAGCTCAGGGGAGGGCTCTGACTCTTAGTAAAGATCAGTCAACCCAAAACTTGGGTGTGTTGGGAAGCAGATACCCTACACAGATAACCGACCCCCCACCCCCACCTCCAGTGGAGCCCTCTCTCCCTGCAGCCTGCATTGCAGGTGCCCAGGGCGCTGGCAAGGCCCCTGGGCTCACCTCCTGGTGGCGGACCATGCTGTCGACGCGGGCCTTCTCCTTGTCCAGCTCGGTGCTTGCCCAGCGGATCTGCTGGCTGGCCCCATCCAGCCGCCCTGCCAGCAGCTGCACCTGCTCTTCCAGCTGCTGCACCTGCCTCTCAGCCTCTGCCCTGCACTCGGCCTCCTTCTGCAGCTGCTGGGCCTTTGTCTCTGCAGGATCAAGCGGGAGGGGGGAGAGGGAGGAGCCCTGGGTGCAAGTCCCTGCACTGCCTCTGACCCAGGACCAGACCAGTGGGAAGGGTCATATCAGGTTTCTGGGCCTCAGTGTCCTGAGCCACAAAATGGGGCTCTGAACCCTGCCTGAGGTGGGTTCTGAAAATAGAAGGTGGCACCCTGTCTTGAGTTATCACCCAATAGTGTCCCGCCAGGCCCACCCTCCTTTGTGGTTCCCTTTATCTTTACCCTGGAACCCCAAGGGACAGAGATGGAGGGGCTCATACAGCCACACCACCCAGCACAGGGCATGTGGTGCAGGGCCGTGTGACGGGGCTCCTCACCCACAGCCTGCAGGGACTCCTGCTGCTGCTTCAGCTCCCCTTCCAGGGTGGCCACCTTCATCTTGAGGTCACTTGTTTCTATGGCAGCCAAGAGAGAGGTCCTTTAGAGGCTCCCCTGGGCCCGGCTGGCAGCCTTCATGCCCAGAGCATCCTGTAGAGCCGTGGTAGGCGCCACAGCATGGAGGGGTCAGGAGGCCTGGGCCCCATCTGCCCTACTTCCTGTTGGGTGGCTGCCATGTCTATACACCTCTCTTGGCCTTGGTGTCTTCCATGGGGGCAACAGTGAGGCTCGGAAAGGGCAGCGACTTGCCCAAATTCCTCCGGCCTCACAACATCAGCGGGCACCGGCCACTTGCAGTGCCATAGCAACATCTCTTTGCCTAACAGCTTTCGCCGAAGCCAAAGAGGCTGCTCTGCTGGCTGGAGGTGCCAGAGGAATGAGCTCCCCCAGGAGCCCCCTTCAGTGACCTATGGGAGTGAGTGGATGAATCCCCTAGCTCCCTTGCCCCTCTAATGGGACAACTCTGAGGCACCGTTCTACACTAGTGGCTCCAGTCTCCCCAGGGCCATGAAGCTCCAGCTACCTGCAGTGTAACCGGCTTGAGGAGGGCACCCTTTTTCACTGCCTTCCCTTCCTTGTATCTTTTGCCCACTCCCCAGCCCAGGTTTCCTCCTCACCAACTACTTGTACCCACAGTCCTGTTTTGGGGCCTGCTTCTGGTCAAGCCCCGGCACAGACCTGAGAGCAGCTGCTGCTTGTGGCGCTCCCACGTGGCCAGGCGCTGCTCAGTCTCGTCCGCCTGCCGCCGCCGCTCCACCTGCTCCTGCTGCAGTGCCTGCTCCAGCTTGCTCACCTGCTGCCTCAGTCCATCCTTCTGCCCCTCGGCCTCCTCCAGCTGGGCCCTGAGGGGCCCAACGAGCTGAGCGAGGGCCCCCACATGCTTACTGAGGCGCATCAGGTCTTTGCTCTGCTCTGCCGCCCAGTGGCCCACAGTGGTGGCCGGCAGCGGCCTGAGCCCCATACTGTCCTGCACCAGCTGCTGGAACTGGCCTAAAGACGAGGGCAAGTTCTGGCTCTGACACAGGCTGATGACCACCTTGCCCACCTCACACAGGCTGCCCTGGACGCTGGTGCACGCATCACAGGGCACCAGGGCCGTCTCCACGGTCTGCGAGTGGACACTCCTGGTGTTCTCAGTGGTCCTGGCTGGACACTGCAAGGAGACTCTAATGGGGCTGTCTGACTCTTCGCAGGTCTGGGGCAAGACTGGCAGTGGGGAGGGGGGCTTGATGAACTTGGCAGTCACAAATTCAGGGCTCTTGGCTGGCTCGCTCTTGGCTGTGGGCTTGGAGGTGGGGGTCTCCCCTTGGTTTGCCCTTTTCTGTGGTCAAGAAAAGAAAGGGAGAAGTGAGCAAGATGGGCTGGGGAGGTGGCCAGTTCCCTGGGGAGTTCTGTGACAGCCTCTCCTGATGCTCAGACCCTCAGATGTCATCGGACACCAACATGAATGAGAGAGAGAACCCTCTTTCTTTCTGCTGCTTGAACTTCCCAAGCCAGGCCTCCTCTCTGCTGCCCCTCCCCACCCCCCGGGCCCGCTGCAGTTACATGCATGGTACTGGGAGGGTGACAGTGACAGCCACAGCTGCCGGTTACTGGGCTCTTGCTTGGTGGACTCTCTTGCTCTCGTGTCACAATTGTGTAGTCACTCTCAGTTTTAGTTTCCTCCCCTTTATGGTGATGGTGGTCCTTCCCACTGGGTGGTTGTGAGGGTTACAGGATAACCTCTAACAAATGGCGCTCATATTAACTCTATTACCCAACAACGTCCTGAGAGGTAGGGACTGTTATTACTCCCATTGTACCGATGCACAAGCTGAGATTCAGAGTAGGTAGGAGTTTTCCAAAGTCCCACAGTGTAAACAGCAGGGCCAGGTAGCCCAGACATGACCTCAAGGCCTGTGATGCTAACTGCCAAGCTGCATGGGCCCTGACTGGGAGGTTCCAGAGTTCACACTGTCTCCTTCAGCAATGGATACGGTGCCCATATGGTGTGCCAGGAAGCTGGGGCAGGCTAGACTGGTGTGAGGGTGACCACAGTTGGGGAATGACGGGTAGCCGACCCACCTGGGGGGCCGCCTGCTGGTAGAGCATGGCCAGCCTCAGCAGGCTGTTCCAGAAGCACCGCACAGTGAGCCCCACAGACATGCAGGGCCCTGCAGCCCGGGCAGGGGGCACTGTCTGCCCTGAGCCGAGGTTCTCCAAGTAGCTTGCACAGCTCTGAAGCAGGAGCAGGAGCCTGCGAGCAGAGACGGCACGGTCAGCTAGGGCAGAGCCAAGCGCCAGTGTGCCCACACGTCACACAACTGGCAGCCTCTGGCTCTGGGGAACTGGCCCATGCATCAGGGACTTGGAGCATCTCAGAATATGCTCCGCCAGGCCAGCTTCAAACCCAATCCAAGAGCTGCTTCCTCCAGGAAGCCCTCCCTTGAGGGCCGAGCTTGGGGGCCTCCTGGGTGGCAGCACTTCGGCCTGGCTGTCCCCCACTGGACCAGGATGCCCTGGGAGGCCAAGCCTGCCTCAGATGTATCCTGAGTGCTCAGAAAGTGTGGGGTGAATAGCTGCCTTATCTCAGATGCTCAGCGCCTTCACATGACAGACAACAGAGCTGAAACCCTGGCGGGGAGGAGCCTGCCCACAGCCTCAGTTTCCTGATTCTAGTCAGGGCTTCTCCTGCAGGGTGGGCTGCTTCTGTGACAACGGAGACTGGAGTGAAGAGAGCTAGGCCTCTATCCTAACCTTAGAGTTCAAAATTAGAGTTGGGTGCTAATTTTGAGAAAAAGGGGTGTTGGGAAGATAAGTTTGTATTTGCGTGGGAACTAAGCTATTTTAAAGGAAGAAGTATTGTATTTACAAAACATATCAGGCAGATAAATGCTCTTATCTTGTTGTAGGTGCAGGGGGGTGATCTCAAACCCACTGGGGCCTTGGGGAGAGAAGGGAAGGAGGTGCCAACCACCTCCAGGCCCTGCCCCTCTCTGGGTCAAGGTGTCCTCCTCTGTGAATGGGGACAACAGTGGTGTGCCACGGTGCTGAGCAGCACCGGGGGAGGGAAAGCGCCTGGAAAGAGAGAGAGCATGGCCTTGACAGAGCGATCTGTCTGCTCAGACAGACAGACCCTCCGGGTGGGAGACTGCTGTCCTGCTGCATTGTATTCATCCTGAGCCGCAGGCCCATCCCCGGACATGAACTGAGCATCTCCAAATGCTACAGCCTGAGCCAGTAGCCGCAGCCCTGTCCTCCAGGGTTCCTAGGCTGGCCTAGGCCTCAGACCCCAAGGCCTCTGTCAAGAGTTATATACACACACAGGAGTCCAGAGGAGGCCCCGACAAACTCAGCCAGAGGTGGGCGGAGGGGACAGCTAGAGGGTGGAAGGACACATCAGCAACAGCTTCACAGAGTGGGGCTGGGTAAACTGGGCCTCGATGGATGCGTGGGACTGGGCCAGACCAGGAAGGTGTGGGCAGGGCGTTCCAAGCAGAGGACACAGCATGTGCAAAGCCAGGAGGAAGGAAGGTGTGTTCTGTGCTTACACAGTTCAGCCCCTCAGAGGTTACAAATGGTGCTTTCACAGCAAGGGCTCCCCCAGGCCTCTAAGTGGTTACCCTGGCTTCTTTGTCCCCAGGCAGGTCATCCCCAAACTGCTGGGGTCCCTGTCTGCTGGGCTCCCGTGACTTCAATAGTATGTAAGGTTTTGGAGCACAGGGATCCTGGGTTGCAGTCCCCAGGAAGTGGAAGGCCAACGACCATGTTAACTTCAATGACAGTGCAGAAGTGGTGGGGCTGCAGGGAAATCCACTGGCCTCTTCCTGGTAAGACCAGGATTTGGAAAAACACATCCCATGTCTGGTCCTGTGACACAGAGGGAACAGCACAGCCCAAAAGATACGAGGAAAAAAGAGCCTGGGTTGGAAACTCTGAGCAGCAGCTGGAGTGTCCCCGACACACAGAAACCCTGAGGAGGCAGCTGGCAGTGGCCAGAGAGGCAGCTGTCAGAGCTGTGGTGCTGCAAAGACTGACAGGGCAGCCAGCAACTCCCTGAGGGTGGACAGGATGGGATGGCCCAGCACATGACACGGCATGAACAAGGTGAGATCGCTGTGAGGGCCCTGAGCTGAGCTGGCCCCCAACAGGAACCCAGTCAAAGGTGACTGTTGTCACCAATGTCATCACCACTGCTGCTACTGGTTTAAGGGGAGGGTGCCAGCATCCTGTGGTGACTCACCTGTCAATGACCAGCTCCAGCAGAACAGCATGGGAGAGCTGCGTGAACTCAGGGTCACCCGGCACATGGTCATAGTGCTCTAGCAGGGCCACCATGTCCAGGTCACAGGCTACTCGGTCAGGGAACTTCCAGGAGGGGAAACGCACAGGCCCAGCGCGGGAGAACACGTCCACGATGGCACCCTGCAGGTCGGTAAGGTCCTTGCGCAGGCTGTCCATGCAGGCCTGGCTGCCCAGCAGGTGCGCCATCCTTGTGGCTCCTGAGGTGGGCAGAGAGGACCCCTGTTAGCCAGAGCCATGTGGTCGCTGCTGGAGGAACCTTCCTAAAACCACGATCTTCCCAGTTGCTCCGAGGCAAAAAATCCAACCTAGACCCTAGGGAGAAGTCTGTTCCCTGGCTCCTTTGGGATCTGGTTGTGGGTGACCTCACCAGCGTTCCTCATCCACCCTACCCCAGGCCCACCCTGCTGATTCCATCGTCCCACAGGTCCCTGCTAAATGCTGGGTGGATACAGCTATCGACGGGAAGGTACCTACCATCTTTCTCTCCCTGAGCAAACAAACCATTGAGCAGGCAACTGACAACTAAAAGAGTTGTAGCTACAGCATGATGGGGAGTGCCAGACCATACCAGGCCACTATCATCTCCCGCCTTGACCACTGCAGCAGCTTCCAGCTGGGCCACAGGCCTGCCCACTCTAATCGGATCCACTTCAGCTCTAGAGGTCTAGACCAAACCCTATCTGACCATGTCACACTGGCAAACAACGCTTCGAGACTCCTTGTGGCCCTTGGGAGAAAGGCAACCTCCAGCCACACCCCTCTCTGTCTAATCACGTCCCCCCCGCCCTCCTACCCCTCAACAACCGGCCCATACCCTCTACTCCAAGCTCACATGGAGCCACTTGTTTGTGAATCCGTGTCCCTTCTGTCTGAATCATGCTTCCCGCATCCAATTCCCATCACCTAGCTAACTCCGCTCATCCTTCAGGGTTCTCAGATATCACCTCCTCCAGGAAGCCTTCCCTGAGCACCCTCCAGGCTGGGTTAGATAATCCTTCTGGGCTTCCCCCATCTCGGCCCTGACTGCTTTCTGCTGGAATGGCCTCCGCCCTCCAGGCCAGGTCCTCAGACCACCTTAGTCAATGTGGTACCCCAGTGTGGCCAGCCTGGGGCCTGGCCCATTGTAGAGGCTCAGTCGCAAGTGAATGACTGAATAATTGAGTGGAGAAAACAAAAAGAATCCACAAAAAAAATGTAAAATACATTGACTTTTGGGGGAAAACAATTCCTAAGGTACAAGAGAGGAAAACCCGAAAATTTTTATCAATACCTATCCTAATCACTCTGGGACAGGGGACCCATTATATGTTGATACAGAGAGTCCCAGCCCTGCCCCTTCCTGGCTGTGTGGCCTTGAGCAAGTCACTGCACCCCTTTGAGCCCCAGCTATCTCTGTTGTCAGATGGAGACACCGTCCCCAACCAGGCTGGGTAGTTGTGAGGGCTTTCGTCCAGGGCAAGGCACCAGTAAAGTTCTCAAGCAATAGTAACTATTATTATTGTGATTACTATTATTAGCAGTAACAACAGTAAAGACTATCCTTGTCTAGAGCTGTTGCCTGCCTCCTATACTTCCCCGTTTCCCCTGCGGCCCACTCAGAATGCTTCTCGTCCATCTTCAGAGTCTGTGGACATCTGAAGACGGTGATTTGGTTGAACTGCCACGAAGCTTGACACTGTCCCAGCCCCTCCAGGTGGCTCACCACCTGCCTCAGGGTTTCACCCTGTGGCAGCTGGTGTCAGAGCCAGCACTCTGTTCAGAGCTGCGCAGCCCTGTGGATGCTGAGCCCTGGTCCCTCCCCACCCTGCAGCAGGTGCCCCTTGTCCTCTGCGGCTTTCTCAGAAGCAGAAAGCGCTTCCTTGCACCACAGCCCCTCCCTGCAGGGCAGGGGCCTCTTAGGCAGTATTTAGGCCATGGCCTCTGTGGCCCCCAGCCAATTCAGGCCTGGCTGGGAAACCGCTCTTCCTCCAACCTATTTCCACCCCACAACATCTCTCATCTCAGAAAATGGCACCCCCACTGAGTACATCCTGGCACTTCCTCAAAGCCCCTTCCTTTACCCCCATGTCCAAGCACCGAGTGCTGCCACGTCCAGAGCACAGTGAGAACCCACCACTTCTGTCCATCGACACTGCTCCACACTCCACCATCTCCCCAGACCACCGCCACAGCCTCCCTGAGGGGTCGCCCTCTTCACTCTGCCCCCAGCACCTCGCCTGTTCTGTATATGGCAGCCAGAGTGATCATTTAAAAAAGCAACTCACCCCCCTCTTAGAGCCCCTGAATGGCTTTCTCCAGCATAAAGACTGGAATACATCCCCAGGCTCTGGTCCTGTGTGGTCTGCCCCCGCCTCAGTGTCTCAACACCCGGAATGTGCCCCCTCCCCACTCTTCATCTAGATAAGACACCTCCCTCAGGTCCCCAGCCTAGGTGAGGCCCCTTGTTACACCTTCTCAGAACATCCTGTTCTTTTTCTTCCCAGCACACGCCACACTGGCACAGAATCATTATTTGAGTAATTATTTCCCGTTGGCAATCTGTCTCCCTGTGAGCACATGGACTGTCTGTTGAGTTCACTGCAGTATGACCTGGCCACCTGGGCCAAGGGACCTGAGGACCAGCCTGTGCCCACAGGTGCTGGAAAGCTCAGAGGCACCCAGGGTGGTTCCTGAGGGCTGAGCCAGCCTCTCTGGCCTCCCAGAGGACTGGGCCCTGTCCTCACCTCTCACAGGTGCCTGACTGTGCAGCTGGCTGGCGGAGTATGTCAAGCTCTTGGACTAGACTGTGGGCTCTGGGGCTCAGGGTCAGAGGCTCATGCAGGTTCCTGGCTTCCCGTCTTAGGTGTTAGGGCTGGCCCTGAGCAGCTCTTCGGTCCCTGGGAACCAATAAAAGCAAGAGTCAGTGAGAGGGTACTCCAGGAGGGCTTCCTGGGGGGCAGGCAAGAGGCTGTCCCGGAAGAAAGGGAGGGTGTTACAGGCTGGAGGAATTGTGTGAGGGGGCAGGTTTCAACAGTGCTAGCTCTGACTACAGGACCTACGGTGTGCCACTTCCCAGATCCACCTCCTTCGTACAGATGAGGAAACTAAGGCTCTGGAAAGTTAAGGGGCTAGCCCAAGGTCACTCAGGAGCTGGGATTCTTGAGTCCAACATTTCTGCTCTGTATTCAAGCCATGCTGCTTCTAGAGCAGCACTGTACAAAAGAAACAGAACACACACGTGGGATTTAAAATTTTCCATTAGCCACATTAAAAAAAAGTAAAAAGAGACAGGTAAATGAATTTTAATAATATATTTTATTTAACCTAATGTACTCAAAATATTATCACTTCAACATGAAGTCAATATAACATTATTAAGGAGATTTTTTAATAGTCTCTTTTTGCCTTAAGTCTTAAATCCAGTGTCTCTTTGACACTTACTACACATCTCAATTTGGACCAGCCACTGTTTTCTTTTTTTTCTAAAGACTGGCACCTGAGCTAACAATTGTTGCCAAACTTTTTTTTTCTTTTCTGCTTTTTCTCCCCAAATCCCTCCAGTACAACTTGTATATCTTAGTTGTGAGTCCTTCTAGTTGTGGCATGTGAGACGCCGCCTCAGCATGGCCTGACGAGCGGTGCCATGTCTGTGCCCAGGATCTGAACCAGCAAAACCCTGGGCCGCCGAAGCGGAGTGCGCGAACTTAACCACTTGGCCATGGGGCCGGCCCCAGCCACTATTTTCAAATGCAGGCTCATGGATACCAGATTGGAGAGTGCAGGTGTAGAGGGTTAGATCCTGTGTGTTCATTCAGCAAATAATGACTGAGTATCTACTATGTGCTGGGCACCGTGTCAAGAATAGGGACAGAGCAGGGCACACGGAGCCCTGTCTGCCAGGAACCACCATTTATGTCTGAGGGTTTCTGCAGGGGACGAGTCTTGAGTGTGTCAGCTGTGTCAGTTCCAGCCACAGGACAATGAGTATCCGCCACACAACACTCACATACACACATGAGCCTACATCCCGCAGGCATATGTTGCCTCAGCGACTGCCTCTGGTGAGATATTGCCATCTATGAGATTTTATGCCCCCAAGGAATGAGACAGAAACAAACAGAAAAGACAGACTGAAACATCCTGGGTTTCCTTCCTGGAATAGGAGGAAGGAAATAAAGCAAGCAAGAAACTCCACCCTAGGAAGAGGCATTTTCAGGTGGCACCTGGAACTCAGGAGCTTGCTTGTGAAGACCAAGAAACATTGACCTATTCCTCAAAGAACAACAGTGGCCACCTGGGCCCAACTGAGATACCAACTTCCTATTAGATTCTGGTTCTGAGAAGCAGCCGCAATGCCAAAGGCCGAAGAGTATACAAGAGGAAAACACAACATCTAAAAATATCCAAGGTTACCTTATGTCATTTCTTCTGAACTTTGGGGATTTGCAGACATAAGCATGGTTTGAGAACCGCTTAGGGTGCGTCAAGTGAAGGAGCATTTGACACGGCTTTCTCTGTAATTCCTGGGTCTTGAGTGGAACCCTCAGCCTGAAGCCGCCAGCCCTGCACTGGTCCTGAGTTCACACAGGTGATGACCCTAATTGAGCCAACACTGCCTGAAGTAGGAGCAGCAGCTAACTCTGCCTCTCCGCAGTTCCCTCAAGCTCAAGGCAGCTCAAGGCAGCCTTCTGACTCGCAGAGAAGTGAAGGAGCCTTTCCTTCACACCCGTTCAACATTCGAGCCCCTTCCCTCTCTGAGCCCTAGGACCCCACCTCTATGGTAAAGCTCATGCCCACCTCCTGGCCAGTGTGCCGAGATTCCAAGTCACCACCACAAAAACACTTTGGAAACTCTAAAACCATCTATATAGCAGTTGTCAGTCTCTGACTCAGGATTGCTACTTGCCTGGATCCCTGGGGACAGTGAAGGGACTGAGTGAAGACAACGGAATAAGTAACTGCACTAGTAGAGGAGTGAGAATGGCCGGGGTTTGGATTCCCACTCCACCAACTCTGAACTTCACTGTTCCCATCTGTAAATAAGTTGCTATGAGAAATAAATGATGTCATGCATGTAGTCTGGCACAGGGTCTGGGTCATGGTAAATGTTCAATAAATCCTAGCTATCATTATTATTCTGTATTAATAACAACAACGACATAAGCCAGCTATGGTGTATATGTGTGTGAGAGAGAGACAGGTAGCAGACCTGGGAGGCCATCTCTTCCGATCACTCTCCCCCATTTCACAGGTGAGGAAACTGAAGACCACGCAAGGCCCGCACTCCGGAGGTGGGAGGGAGGGGAGAGGGGACAGGGAGGAGAGGATCTCGGGAGAGGAAGTGAAGAGTGGGATTCGAGCTGTGCCTGGGGGCAGCGGAGAAAGCGGTCTGCAGGGAGCACCTGTGGGAGTGAGGGGTGGAGCCTAAAGAAGCCCTGATTTGAGATGGTCCATAGGGCTTGAGGGCCAGACTATGGAAGGCAGAGGGTGGAACCTAGAAAAGGCACGCCCACGGGAAAAGGCATCGGTGGGAATTAGGGATAGAGACTCGGGAAGGGGGCGGGCCCGAGAGGAGGGGACTCTCCAAAGTGAGACGCCAATGGGAGGGAGCGGGGGCCTTGGAAGGCGCGGTCGAAGGGAGCGAGGAACCGGCCTGTGGAGTGAAGGAGAGTGGGCCCAGAGTCGTGGGGTGCGTGCGGGGGGCGTCTGGCGTGCAGAACGTCTCACCAGTCTCCGGCGTCGCAGCCTTAGCTCCTGTGTCTGGTCGGCTCATGGAACGGCCCCGACGCGCCCGCCGCTCTTGAGATCCCCTGCAAACGCCAGCCGGGCGCTCAGACCGCTGCCATGGCAACGGCGTCTCGCGCGGGCCTCTCCCGCAGGGAAGAGGTGGGAAGTGATGTCACGGATAGGGGCGGGCCCGGAAGTGCGTCAGCCTCGCCTCCTCGGCTACCACTCGCTCGGCCGCCGCCATCTTGCGAGCTTGTCGTACTGTCGGTGCGAGAAAACTCTTTCGACGCAGCAAGGCTCACCTACACTGAGGCGGACTGGCTGCCCTGAGCGTCGCAGTCATGCCGGCCGGACCCGTGCAGGCGGTGCCCCCGCCGCCGCCCGTGGCCACCGAGCCCAAACAGGTACCACGTCCCCCGCACCTCTACCGGCAGCCCGAGCCTAGGCCTGGGCCCTCCCCTCTGGCGCGGGCGCTCCGTTTTGCAGAAGGAACTGGCCGCTTAGGAGGGCGTAGAGGGACTGCAAGTCCCAGGAGGCAGCGCGGTTGCTGCGCTGCGCTGCCTTCTGGTCGCGCAACGGGCTGGCAAGAACAGTGGTTCTCAAAGTGTGGTCCGCGGACCAGCAGCATCAGCAGCACCGGGGAGTTTAATAGAATTGCGGAGTCTCCAGGCCAGACCTTCTAAATAGGAATCTGCATTTTAACAAGGTCCCGAGGTGACTCAGTAAAGTTTGAGAAGCACTGATCCAGCCCATCCACCTGTCTTCTGTGGCATTTGAGCCCCCAGGCCCCCCAGCCTTTACCCTAATTTCCCACCCTGCAGGGTACATCTTATAATGTTAATTCTCAGCATCTACTCGGTGCTTACTCTAAGCCAGACACGGTGCCACCCTCTGACGTTACCAGAATGAGTGAGGCAGAGTTTCTGCCTTAGGGAGCTCACCGGCTACTGGGGAGACAGATATTCGGGAATACTCAACAAATGTTTATTGCCCCATCAGTGTAAATGATACAGTTCCAGCCAGCCCTTAAAGATAGCTCAAGCAGCTGATAGGAAAAGATGTACATAAATCATTGCAGTGTGGGGTCGGCTGGGTGGTGTAGTTAAGTTCTTGTGTTGTGAGTCCACAGGTGGGGGGTGGAAGGTTCGGGTCACAGTTGCAGACCTACACACCCCTCATCAAGCCATGCTGCGGAAGCGTCCCACATGCGAAATAGAGGAAGATTGGCACAGATGTTAGCTCAGGGGCAATCTTCCTCACCAAAAAATAAATAAGTAAACGATTGCAGTATGGTGTGATTGGCCCTATAGTGGAAGTGCCGGGTACAAAGAAGACACTGATCTAATCGACTAATCGACATTGCTTTGATCGGGTAGAGGGGAGATTAAGGTAGGTGAAGTTCACAGGAGTGAGATAAATTGCTTTTAGAAGGATGAACAGGAGTTCACCAGGTAGGTGGTTGGGGAAGGGAAATAGCATTCTTTAATCATTCCTCAAACATTTGTTGAGCACATTGTGTGCTAGCCACTGCTTTGGGTTCAGAATACAGCCGGGAAGGAGACCCAAAAGGTCTGTGCACTTTCCACAAATATGTTAGTGCCTGTGTGTCCTGGCATTTTCCCAGTCACTGGGGAAAAATAAACAAAGTAATACCAGATAATAAGTGCAAAGATACCAAGATAGGAATCAGATGGTGCCTCTGGTCAAGGTAAATAAACAAGTGTGGTTAAAGCACAGCGTTGGGTAACTGCTGGCAGGAGATGGGATTCTGAGGATTTGAACTTTTACCAGTAGACAATGGGGAGAAAAGGATATTAAGCTGGATAGTGACATATTTGTTTTTCAGAAACACGCAGCGATGTGGAGAATTGCTAGGAGGACAGAGGATTAGTCACTTCATTCAAAAAGTACTGAAGATGGGTGATGAGGCAGAGGGTCTGGGCAGGTTCGTTTCACAAAATGGCTGATCGTACAGGCTCTCCAGCCGAAGTGGTGTGTTGGAAATCCAGTTCCATCGTTGAGGGTATTTAAGTGCTCCATTCTTCAGTTTTATTGTTTGTAAAAATGGGGCTCTCATGAAGATTGTAAGAGTTAACATATTTAAAGGGCTTAGGAAAGCATATGCTACCTGCTCTGCTTGATAAATACTGTTATCACTGAACGTAGAGGCTGAGGAAGGGAGAGGAGGCCTAAATTTCTGGCCTGGATGTTGAGGTACGTGGTTGGCCATTGATAAGGGAAGAGGTTAGAGATAGCAGTGCCCAGGATTCAACTGGATCTGCCTGGATAAAGCCCTGGCACGTAAGAGTGATCTGGGGCATCAGTTTGGATGGGATTGTTCAGCCTAAAGGTGATAGGGGAAATGGAGGATGTGGCTATGAGTGCCTGACTGAGGACAGTGTGAATGCTGTGAAGAGAACTAAGAACAGAATTTTGAGGATGCCCTACATTGTAGGGCAGGAAGTTAAATGGAAGCCAGGCAGGAAACTTGGATGGTTTGGTGAGCAAGAAGGAAAGGCAGGTGAGAAAAGGGTGTGGGAGTTGAGGACTGGAGAATTTTGTGAAGGAGTGGTCACTGGTCATATGGCCAGATCACCAGTGTAGTTGGCTGTGGGCAGTTTCTGACTTGGCAAGAGCACTTGAAACGGATGGGGACCAAATGGGAAGTGAGGAAGTGGGAATGGTAGCTCAGGGTGTTTAGTTCCGGGGTTGGGGGCACAAGGGGAGAGGGAGAAGGCAGCAGCAGAAAAGAACATGAGGGCAGGGGAGAAACTTTATTTTTCTAAGATGAGAGGCTTGACCCTTTGTTTAGTATGGAGAAGAAACTGGTGAGGAAAGTATTGAAACTTATGGGACAGTTAATGTTGAGTATTCCAGTGGAGTTTCACACACCATTTGAGTGTTGAGTGTGGTTCGGACTATGGAAGGGATGCAGAAGGAAAGGATGTTCAAGGCAGAAGGAGCTGCCAGTAAGGAGTTTCCCGTTTCTTTAGTAAGCAAACAATTGTTAAGTATCCTGTGCTAGGCACATCCTGGGGTACGGGCATACAGACCTGGCCTTCTGGATCCTGGAACATGGTTTCTCAGGATGTGGTCAGATCCCCTCCACATCTGAATCACCTGGGCACTGGTAAAAATGCAGATTCCCAGTGTCACTGAGCCTGTGTGGCTTAGGGGAGCAAGAGAGGGTGCTCTTTTCGCTGTTTCCCCAGGAGAGTCCCATGCAAGCACAATGCAGCTAAGAGAACCACTGTTCCGGAAGTCTATGGGAGAGAGTCGGTATTCTCAGTGATACCCCTAGAGGAGTTTAACGTGGGGTCACCTCCAAACCAGGTACTTCAAGACCTTATTTCCTTTTCCTCTCTTCACAGCCCACAGAAGAAGAACCATCTTCAAAGGAGGATTCTACCCCTTCCAAGCCAGTCGTGGGAATTATTTACCCTCCTCCAGAGGTCAGGAATATCGTTGACAAGACTGCCAGCTTTGTGGCCAGGTAAGATAGCGACCTCTGCTCATGTGGGTCACGGCGGACTTTAGCACCAAAAGCTCCTGAATCCGCACAAGGGTGACACTTGGGTTTTTAGAGGGGGTGTTGTCGGCTTAGGCCCATTAGCTCATTTAAAACCACGGCATGGCGGTAAGGAAGGCAACGGGCAGGACTGGCTTCTCCAGCATAGCATGGCAACGCAGAGTTCAAGTCACACCCAGCCCCAGAGTCACTTAGGAAGCTGTGCTTCCACAAGGGACCTGAGGGGATGCCTGGAAAGCTGCTTTGTCGCAGATAATCTGTGTGTTTGTGTCTGGGCTGCTGGCCCAAGGACAACAAAAACGGGAGTTGATCATTCTCATTGTTCAAGGACTACATTCCTCAGAACCTCAAATGACCCATCTGCAAAATGGAATAAAATACTGCGTCAGAGTTGCTATGAGGCAGGAGTGAGGGCACGGGACGGAATTCAGTGCAGGTACATCATGCAGCATTTGCTGTCTTCTCAGATGGCAGGGAAATCAGTCCGAGTTCCTCTCGTCTCCCCATCATAGTTAGACACACACTTCCCCAGATGGAATCTTCTTGATGACGCTTGACTCCAGAGGTCAACGTATCTCCTAGTTTAGGGTAAAGTATTCCTTTGGCAGCCAGCGGGGCACATCCAGTCTGTAGATGTTTTGTTTGTCCTCGACAATATTTTTTTAAACTTGAATTAATTGCCACTGTTTAAAATGTTTAATAATAAGGAGATTGCACAGTCAGTCTGGATTTCTGGCTTCTCTTTACAAAGTGGACAGCTTCTTGCATGGAAGCAGTAGCTGGCCCTGAGCAGACTGCTGCCCGCAGTCAGGGCATATGCTCTCCAGGGACTGTGCCTTGACCCCAAACTGGCATCCCCATCACAATAAATCGTTTAATAGAAGGTGCCTTCCTTTCACAACCTCCTAATAAAATGAAACACAGGAAGAGGTTACTCTGGTTGATGTCTTTCACTGTGTCATGATCCACACAGATTCATCTCATCATGTTTCAGAGGCTTTGATTAACCTGGGTATTGGGTTAAAACTGTTCTGTGCTTGATTAAACATTATCAGATGATGCCAGCTTTAGGGCAGCAGGTGTTGTGTTTATGATATAAGCTTAATGTTTCATAGCAACACTTATACTTCCCCATTTCCCCTATTTTTAAAAGCAAAATAAATAGGAAAAGGGTGTTGGAGGAAGAAATCAGTATGATCGCACTATCACAATAGTTTCTACCAGCTGTTTTCACTTTTTCCTGTTTCCTTCTGGCCCTTGGCATCCTTTTTTAGATCCTTGTAAAACTAGCAAAGATACTTTCACATCCTGCTTTTCCCTTTCACATTGTGTTGTAAGCATTTTCCTGTTTTGTTCTGTGGTCTCCTGATGCTGCACAGTCCTCTGGAGAGGATGCACCATGTCAAGGTGACACGCTTTCCTTGACTTGGCTGTCCCCTCAATATTTCCTTCAAGCTTGCTTCCAACGTCTCAATTTGGCAAATGAAGCTGTGGTGAAGTCTGAGTGTTTTCTTTCTCTCTTAGATTGTTTCCTTATAAGAAAGTTCTGTGTGGCACATTACTGGCTGAAAGAGCGTTTTTAAAGATTTCTTAAATATTTTGCCATGTAGCTTTCCAATAATTTTGTGCCTGCCTCTGCTGCCACAGAAATGAGTATCCAGGTTCCCTTAAAAATAAATCTGTACATCCACA